AAACACACTGCTATCAAGTCGGACCCAACACATAATGACCCCTCCTTGGATTTCTGAGGTGGTATCACTACGGAGCTCCCCTTAAACCCACCAGCCACTCCTTGGAAGGAAGGTTGGGCAATCCTACTTCCGTAGTGATACTGCCTCGGCAACCCAAGGAGGGGTCGCTATGAGTCGGAGCCGACTCGACAGCACACAACAACATCACTATGGAAGTAGATTGCCCAACCTTCCTTCTGAGGAGTGGCTGGAGGGTTTGAACCACCAGCCTTCTGTTTAGCAGTCAAATGCCTTAAGCACTACGCCACCAGAGCTCAGGATTCAAATGCAGCAGTATTCCCTGCCCCCTTGCCAGTCATCTTACACAGAATACCATGTATTGGTTACAAGTTTGCACTGCAAAGTCAAGCCAACATTGGCTTACCTCCCCTCTGATTGGCTATGTAACCTTGGGAAAGTTACTTCCAGAAAAGACTGTGTTTTCAACTGAGGATACCAATTATTTCTTAAGACTCATGTGAAGATTAAAACGAGGATAAGTGCCTGGGACATAGTTTGGAGGAGCTCTGGTGGCGTAGTGCCTAAGGCATTTGACTGCTAACTAGAAGGCTGGCGGTTCAAACCCACCAGCCCCTCCTCAGAACGAAGACTGAACAATCTATTTCCGTAGTGATACCACCTCAGAAACCCAAGGAGGGGTCACTATGAGTCGGATCCAACTCCACGACAATAAGCTGAAGGGTGAGGTGTTAGGAGAGGGTGAGTAAAGGACATTACAAGTTATTAGAACTGCTCACTCTATGTACCCCAACATCATCACAAAACTGAATAGGGAAAGTCAATACAATTTTATATGTATCTGAAGGGCACAAAGATTTGTTTGTACTAGCATTATTAAAAATGGCACAATACCAAACTAAAACTCCCAAGCTTGTAAACCCAAGTTAAGATACAAACATAGGGTGAAGTGTCATGTAGTCATTTAAAAATTGTATCTTGAAGAATGTGTAAGATAGGCATTCTCAAAAGGGACAACATAGCCCTCAAGGTGGCAAAAGTTAGTTCTCAGAGGGTGTAAAAAATTACAACGCCCTTCAAAGGATACAGTGTACAAAAAAGATACACAGTAGTATCTGTGGTATTAAAACCTTACTGGGGTGAGGTGGTTAGGAAAACCAAGTATCTAAAAAGGCTTCTTAGGGGTGATAATGAAATTATCAGAAACACTGGCTTAAGATACATAGAAATGCTCACAGTATTCCACATTAAAAAAAAAAAGTAGGTCACCAAATAGAATAGTATGTACAGTCCAAAATGTTCTAAAATATGTTCTAGAATATTAACTGAAGTTATCTCTGGGGGATGGTACTACAAAGGTTTTTTTTCCATATGCTTTTTTTTTTTTTTAAATAGGTTTCACATTTTCTAGTTTTTAAATTTCAAAATTACTATTTTTAAAATGTTCTTTGGTATTGAGTAGACTTTTTACACAGGAATATATAGTTACTTTCTCTGCAGGCATTCTTAGGATAAAATGTCCAGTACACCTAAGTATATGGGGCTACATCAATGTTTTCATAGTTCTCAATATGGACAAGTGGGTTGAATTCTAAAAGAGTACATCTCAACCCATCATGGTGGGGCTTTCCTTTTGTTCAAGTTACCAGAGAAAACAATCTGCCTCAAAGGAATACTGTGCCACCCTGATTCCTACAACAGTCCCTAGTACGTTGGTAGGTAATTTTTACAAAAGCTGATTCAGACCCCAAAGTAAAAATAAAAACCCAATCCAGTTTTTAAAAGTTGTCCTCAAAAACTATTGCTACATAGGCTATCAGTAGATTTTTACTTCACTAAGGATTTCAGCAAGTCTCTCAAGCTCTTTCTTAATCCTTGCCAAAATCACAAATTCTCAAAACACAGCAATATCCAATGCCAGGTGAATGTTTTCCTCTAGTCACTATCAGAAGCACATGCTTACTAATTTGTTTAGTTGAAGCCCGAAGCTGTAACCTTCAGAATGAGCACTGACAGACAGTAAAGTTTATTTTTCCTCAGAGACCTGTCTGTCCTCAGCAGAACATGGTAACACACCTTTATATAATTACTGTCACTCAGCTTACAGAACCACCAATTCTTTCATTAGACCATGCTATGGAATCAATTTTATATATTTAGGAGAGAAATATTCAAAATCTTAGGCCCTATTTTCACTTTAACTGTTCAAATTTTTTTCTGAAAAAGTAGTAATTTTACTGCTATTCCTACTGACTATGAGATAGAGCTACAAAAGCAAGGCTTTTGCTCCTCAGATGTCATACTGTGGGAGCAGTTTTACATTCACAGTCAGTGGAGTCAGGTTATTGTCAGACCGGCTTTCCTTTAGTACTCTCCGTCACTCTAGGAATAATGAGGTTTGTGGTGGTATGTGAAGGGTGGCACATTTATATGTGTTCCCAGTGCACATTATTACTTGACAGGAATATAAAAGAAATGAATGCTGACAGCTGATTTCTATGTAAAACTAAAGTGTAGTCTTATAACATACATGTTCAGTGTTTTACTACTAGCTATCTGACAAGCTACTTTTGTGTTCTTTAATATATTCCTAACCTGGGTCCTGATGTCCTAACACAGCTGTAAAAAGAAAAACGGATAGGCTGCTAATTTCTTTCCTTTAATTAACATAGATTCACTAATTCTTTCTTTCTAACATGTTCAAGGGCCAGTTGGGCTAATCTGAGAGGGAAGCAGGCATGATGGCTGTACTTTTTGAAACAAGCAACTGGGCTCTTTTCACCATAGTTAACTTATGACCTTTTCAGCTGTTGGATCACGTTTAGTTGAGCCTTCAGCTAGGCCAAAGTATGACTATGCCAGCGATTCCCTGTCCATTCTCAAGGTTTTATTTAAAGCCAAATAAAGTTTATCTGATGACACTGGTCAGAGCAAAAAGCCTTAAGAGAACCACTAGTTTTCAGTTCAATCTATTGCCATGTTAGGAAAACCTGTAATGGTTTCTAGAACTGTAGTAAAAGTGGAATTCAGTGTAACTCATTCTGAAGATACACAAGGCTGACTGAATGCCCAGAGTGAAAGATTACAACACACACAAAAAGACTAGAAGCATATTATCAGTGGTAACTTACAGATAGGTTAGGAAGATACATAAACATGTTTTATTCACTAAAATACTTTTTATTAATAGTCATTTAAAAGATTTTCCAATGAAGTAGCCAGTTACCAAGTTCACATGAATCAGCCCCATTGTTTTGTCCTTAGTCCTTTAAGTCAGCAAACTTTAGCATTTATTTCCTACTGTGGTGGTTAAGTTTGTGTGTCAACTTGGCTAGGCCTGGTTGAGTGGCTGGGCAGCTGGATGTAGTATTCCCTATGATAAGACTGGTAATCAACTCCATGGTGGAATCTACTGGGAGTGGGTATGTGGTCTGCTTCCCGTAATAAGAAACAGCTTTGGGAATGGTCTCTAGCTCATGGCACACTTGAACCCTGCATGTAGCCGTATAGTTAGTTGTTCAGCAGCCTACAATGCTCTGCTGACCTTGGAACTTTCAATGGACTTGAATTAATGGCCTGGCGTGTAGTTTGGTAACATCAGGACTGTGCCATTTTATCTGTTGACCTTGGGCTTGTAAGCCTCAGCAGCCAGTAGCTGCCTGAGTGAAGAGATGCCTCTAGCTTCAGTGGACTGGGAGCAAGAGGTGGAACTGAAGCCCAAGGTCAAGGGGCTTTCACACAACCTGGCACTTTGAACTCAGACTTCTAGCCTCCTGAACTGTAAGAGAATAAACTCCTGTTTGTTCAGCCATCCATTTGTGGTATATTCTTGTCAGAGTAGCACTAGGTAACCAGAACACCTACCTTTAAAAAGAAGCTCTTGTAGTGTAGTGAGTAAGGGATTTGGCTGCTAACCAGAAAGTCAGCGGTTTGAACCCACCAGCCACTCCACAGGAGGAAGATGAAGCAACTACTTCTATAAAGACTTACTGTCTTGGAAACTCAATGAGAGTTGCTATGAGTCAGAATTGACTTGATGGCAGTGGATTCGGGTTTTTTTTTTTTGGTTTTTAACAAAAACATATACTAAACATCCTGATTCTCTCAAGTGTACAATATGCAGTAACAGATTTCAGACACATTCTAGTGCAATCTTGTAATTTCTAGAGTTATAGAAACTGACGCTTAAATATGATCTGTGCCACACCATACAAGTAGCCTGTGGTGGAACCGGGACAAAGACTCCACAATTCCTGGATGAAGTGAGACTGAAAGGAAAGGGCAGTGAGGATGGAAACAATAACTGATAAATGTCATGTGGAAATCCAAAAACTCAATAATGACCAGAATTACTGGTCCGATGGAGTCTGGTGAGACCCCCAATACTATGGTCCTGGGATACATTCTGGGCCTGGAATAAAGCTCACTCCCAGGGACTGGCTCTCAGCCCAATAGTAAACATGATGTACACACAGACCACTCAACCCAGGGTGACGCACCCACATACTCTATGGGAATGCATCCCTTGGAGCAATCGACCACGGGGCACCGAAGTGGCAATACTCACACAGAGGAAATGCAGGAAAACAGGAGTGTGTAACTATGAGGGGCATGGGGGGAGGGTTACTGGGCAGGGAGAAGAGGAGACTGGTTAGGGCTGGGCATGGAAAATAGGGAGTGAAACTAATTGTACACATAATATTGAATGTAAAATAAACTCTTAAAAAAATTTAAAAAAAGATACTCAAATCAGAAAAAGAAAAAAGAAAAAAAAAATGTCACATGGAAAACAGGAGGAAAAAAAACGTTTGAGCCAAAAACCAAAATTACAGTCACAGAACTACTTTATTTTATAAAGCAAAAAAAAAATCAAGCATGTAAGTTGCTATAAAAGTATAAACTTCTAGATGTTTAAGACCTTAATTTTTTATAAAAAATTACATACACAAATTTTCAGAAACAATAACCATTTTCAGAAAAAGTTACATTTGTCCCTGGACATAATATTCATAATTGGCTTTCAAAACAAATTCAAAGTAGGGATTGGCCTTTAAGCTTCCAAGTTGATCTGCCTGTAGTAGATCTTTCACCTCAGGTAAGTATTCACTGAGCTGAATGCCTATAAAAAAAAAAAGAAAGAAAGCATTTTCTATCTTTAAAAAACTTTTATATGAATTAAGGTGACTGATGACAAAAACACCTGTGCTTCTATTTAAACAACGTTGTTCTACTATTGGAAAATACTCAGCTCTCAAATCCTTCCATCTATTAAATATACCTGTGAGTCTAACAAGAAGACATTCTTCACTCAGAAGAAGCTACTTGAGTTTGTCCCTCCCAGCAAAGGTCAAAATAATCTATTTAAAGTCTTTAATTAGATCTGACATATTTTCATTTTTCCACTGAAGCTCAAGATATTCCTTCAGTGTTGAAGTTATTTAACTATCATGTTAAAAATTTCAGTCAATCATATTTTCATCTATTTGGGAAAGAATTTAGTGGAAACACTATCATGAAAACTAGCTACAGCATCTCAAAATGTATTACAGTTTTGCCTAAAACTAGAGAGTTGAAAGAAGCACTTCACCACAATGCCATCCTCACAATAAGAAGGCAATAAACACTGGTTACTTGAATTATTTTAATTAAGATCCATGTAGTTAGGGGAAAAAAAGGATAGACAATTTTCTCATTTGATTGAGAAAATATTTTAAGTTAATAAGATAATATTATAATTTATTACTACATTACCAAAGGTTCCCAAAATCAAATAGGTTTTTTATTCAGTATTTTCAAAGTGTCTAGCACCATTTTTTATGCTATTGTTATACAGTAAAAACCTGGTTTGATAAATGTTATGGGGCTAAATCTGCATATCTTTAAATCTATATATCATTTATTACAATTAATATATTTAAAAAAACCTTTTTCTCCAAGTAAAATAGTATACTTCCAATAATATCACATTTATAAAAGATTCACTGATTTTTATTTTAAAAATTCATTCCTTCTGTTTAGACCAAATATTAGATGCTTCATTTATTTTCTTTAAAGCAACGATTGCAAACTCACATGCCTACAAAGGTCTGGAAGGAAAGAGAGAACAGAGGATTATAAGTGGCCTTCAGGGTGTGGATCTTAGTAAACCTAAGAGTAAATGACCTATTTAAAAGGGCAGCACTATTTGGCTCCAGTTGCTTGCTATGTAAATATTTCAATCGGGTGTTGGCAAACTATAGCGTAGTGCCTAAGGCATTTGACTGCTAACAGAAGGCTGGAGGTTCAAACCCACCAACCACTCCTTGGAAGAAAGATGAGGAAATCTACTTCCACAGTGATAGTGCCTCGGAAACCCAAGGAGGGGTCGCTATGAGTCGGGTCTGACTTGACAGCACATAACAACAACAACAACAACACTGTACCCAGAAACTATTATTAAAAAGATTCCAAAAATAAATGCCTTTTGTCTATTATAGTAAATAAACAAATATTTTATTTATGTTATACATTTTTATTTATATAAAAATACTAGCTTTTGTCATATAGCCAAAATGGGATCATTTTCTCTGTAAAATTACAACTTTCCATTTCTATTTTCCATCTATGGTTTATAATGTATTCAAAATAAGCAAAACCTACAAGAGCATTACATAACTAGGCATCATTCAGTGAAGCTGGTACTTTTACATGGAAAGCATGTGATTTCTAATAATTTATTAGGCTCATCAGGAGAATCTTCCCAACAAGTACAGAAAAATCATCTATATCCAGTTCTTTCTTCAATTTCAAATACAGAAACAAGAAATACAGCCATTAGCCCTTTCTAAATTTCAAGTATTTTAAAGCAAAAGATACTTTTGTTCTATCCTTTATTTTCTAAATTTTTGTTTATTTTTGATAATAAAAGGTTAATTAACCTGCTTTTTAAAAGAAAGCACTAACTAAACATGCTTTTATGTCAGTGTGGGGCGATCAAGAACATCCACTTTTCATAAATAAAGGTCCAGGTGAACTGAGCAAATTCCAAATTACAGAACTGCATTTACATTTGATCAGCTATTAACAGGAGACCAAAAATCTGGAAAAGAATACTATTAAGATCAATATAGAAAGCTTCTGTAATGCAAACACTGACAGTTTGCTTCTCTCCATCTTAGAATATTGGTTGGCATAGTCAGTTCATAAAACTTCTCCAAGGATCCCATTTCATTTGCTTAAGACAGTGATATTAAAATGGAGAGCTGTAGAAAGAGGGCCAATGGGATGGAGGTAGTAGAATCTACTAAAAGGGTTTGGGGTTATGAATCTGTAAATAATTCTATGCATTGAAAGAACAAATATTTATTGAGCAACTACTATGTACCAGCCACTGGACTAGGCATGTTTTATGTAGATTAAAAATGCATGTTGGAGACATATGTACACATATATATATATAAATTTTAATGTATGTAAATGTCAACATGATAAATAAAATTCACATTTGTTTAGAAGGACTTCTAAATTTGCAAGATTTTTTTTTTGCCACTATTTTTTTTCAATTTGACATTAAAAAAGAGTATCCTTGTACTTTAAGGGATTCATAAAACAATGGATAAGCCTATATTATTTTGCACATTAGTGCCTAGACTTTAGCATCATATATCTTGCTCTAATCATCTATACTATGCATGAGTCATACTTGTTTTTATGTATAAAATGTACAAAATCTCTATTTCTACTAACATTCTCCACATATCAAGCTTCCAGTAATATAAAAGGAGGTTAAAGTTTAAGTCTTTTCAAATTTATCTTGTTCCTGAGAGCTTTATATCCACGAATGTTTCTTTATATATCTGTCTTTATCAGCAAATGGCATGTTGCTCATTGTCTTAGGTACAAAACATATGCCAAACATACTTCCTTATTTGTTAACTTTATTCCTATAATTAATTTAGAATACTGATGTCCAAAATTTGTAAAAGCATTCTGTAATTTGTTCTTGAGTATCATACACCAAATTTTCTAGGGGGACATACCAAAAAAGTTTATATATTAGTTCAAGTTTTGCAAAATACTTAATTGAAACATTAAAGGAAATAAATACTTCTACAATTATAGACTCTCAGCAACTGCACTTCCCATGGATCCTTACTGGCATTCCTTGTCCATCCTGAACCAGCATGCACTGAACCAGCCATGCAGACTTTGCCCACTGCAGTCACCCAGAGATGCACGTAAAGACTTCACCTTGGTACATGCTTCCCACTTGCAGAGGGAGGAAAAAATTTCTTGTTTTATTCTAAACAAATCACTCTAATTTTGAGTATGATGCTACTTTAAGTTAACCCTGTCATTTGAGATCTCAGGCAAATCTCCATTAAGCTGAGATTTCTAAAACTGAGGAGTGATATATTTTTAATAGTAAATAGCAAACCACCTACCATCTTTTAGAAGTTTTTGTAAGATTTTCACAAATATACTGTCTTTAGATAGTTCAATTGGATCATCCTTACCATCTGAACTGGACCAGCTAGAAAACAAAAGCACAATGATGTGTAAATGAAATCACAATTTTTTTTTTTTTTAAATTTACTATTACTGGGTTTGGGAGCTCTGGTAGCATAGTGGCTAAGACACTTGCCTGCTAACCAGACGGCTGGCGGTTCAAACCCACCAGCCACTCCTCGGAAGGAAGGTTGGGCAATCCTACTTCCGTAGTGATACTGCCTCGGAAACCCAAGGAGGGGTCGCTATGAGTCGGGTTTGACTCGACGGCAAACAACAACAACAACAACAACAACATTACTGGGTTTTGTTTTGATGGTGGGGTTGGGTGCAGAATCTGAGTTTTGTGATTCTGTTTTAGAAAATTTAAATGGGGAGCTTCAAATGTTAGATATACTTACAGTCTCTAATAAATAAGATGCTGTAATGAGGTAGCTATTCATCCAATATATAAACATTCTTTCTTTGATTTCAAAAACTATGTAGAGAAGTACCTTTCCTCCAAAATTCTATAAGTAATAAATCTAGTATGGACTCCAAAGTATGCTCTTTCATAGCACAAGCAGTAGTTACAACATTATATTTATTCTGTCTTTCAATCACAATAAAATGACAACCAGTATCTGAACTTAAGAGATACAACACAGGAAGAGAAGCTTTACCTAGCTGAGACTATCTGTTACTAAAATACAAACACACACAAACCCAAACCAAACTCACTGCCATCAAGGTGATTAAACTCAGAACGACCCCTGCTTGGGTTTCTGAGGTGGTATTTCTACAGAAGTATGATTGCCCGATCTTCCTTCCAAGGAGTGGTTGGTGGATTTAAACCACCAGCCTTCTGGTTAGAAGTCAAATGCCTTAGGCACTAGTAATAAATGGATATATCCCACACAATGCCTTAACATTTTTTAAACAAAAAGGCAGGGCAATCAATCCTAGTCAAACTGACAGTATACTTTTTGTATGACTCAGATGGGGAAGGAATCAGTATGTAAGCCCAACGCTAGAGGCTTCATGGGTGACTGCTGAGACCAAATTTAACAACAACTGTAACTATTAGGAGTGAGCAGAGGGAGAGGAAAATGTTTTAGTTCTACTGTAATTTCTCAATACCATTGCTGTTGTTGTTGTTATGTGCCCTCGAGTCAGACTCGACTCATAGTGACCCCTCCTTGGGTTTTCAAAGTGATACCACTACGGAAGTAGATTGCCCCATCTTCCTTCCGAGGATTGGCCAGTGGGTTTGAACCACCAGCCTTCTGGTTAGCAGTCAAGTGCCTTAGGCACTACGCTACCAGAGCTCCTTCTCAACACCACAGGAGAAAGGAAAACCCTGACTGCTTCTAGCAGTCAAGTCATGATCTCTTTAAAATTCTTTTCCTGAAAAAGGCCCACCCTACAACTGATTATTGTTCATCCTTCTTTGCCACTGAGTCTTAAAATTACCATCCTTATAGATGGAAATCCTTCTCTGTAGTAAGATGACTGTGAAAAATAGGTATTCAAACACTTAGAAGAGTACTTACCCTCAAGTTGTAATAATTTTTTATTCTTAAAAAAGTAGCTTTATCAATTAAAAAAAAAAAAAGTAGCTTTATGTCTTCTTTGGCACAACTGGTTCTACTTCTGTGAAAACGAGGAAAGAATGCATTTCTGTGCAAACTGTCTGAATTTAAAAATCAAAAGTAATTTATTATGCCAATGGTTCTAAGTCCTTAATTACTGAACTACAAATTTAAGATTTACTTATGGGAGCTCTGGTAGTGTAGTGCCTAAGGCATGTGACTGCTAATCAGAAGGCGGCGGTTCAAACCCACCAGCCACTCCTCTGAAGGAAGGTTGGGCAGTCTACTTCTGTAGTGATACTGCCTCGGAAACCCAAGGAGGAGTCACTATGAGTTGGATCTGACTCCACTGCAGTGAGTTTGGTTTGGAATGTAACCATTACAAATTTTGCAATATATCATAAATTACAATTAGAAGGTTAAAAAAACAACTTGATGTATAAAATAATACTCTTCCTAAAGAAGAGTCCCTTTCTAAAACCATATCTTAGATTCATACAATAAGAACTTACTTATCTCTCTGAAGAGCTTTACAAAGGATTTCCAGTTTTAGGTCATTTATATTTATGTCTTCCTCCTTCAAGGCAAAAAAAAAATTCTTATTTTAAAAACAAATATATGATAAAAATTGAGTTATGTGTCAACTCATAATTCTGCATAAGCATTGTTGTTTTATCTTGTAATTTCTAAAACAACTTTCCTTTCTTTAAGATGTCGGTACTACTCAGAAGAGTAAACCAATTAATAACTTTGTGTGAATTAGTTTCAGATTACTCTGTGATAAACTGATTTTATCAGAACATGGAGAGAGTTAAGATTTTAAACAAGGTAACATAAAAGCCAATGTATTAAGTTTTTAAAAACTACCAAACCTGTTTAATAGATTACATGGCTAGGTAATAGAACTATTTATAGCACATGTAAGTTTAATGTATTTTATTGCATTATATGTAAATTATGTTGTTGTTAGGTGTCACTGAATCAGTTCTGACTCATAGCAGCCCCGTGTTAATAACAGAACTGTGCCCATTCCTATACCATCCTTACAACTGATGCTGTGTTTGAAGCTGCAGATACTGTGTCAATCCACCTTGTGGAGGGTCTTGTTTTTTCACTGACCCTCTACTAAGTGTAATGTCCTTCTCCAGTGGCATAGTGCCTAAGGCATTTGACTACTAACCAGAATGTTGGCAGTTTAAACCCACCACCTACTCCACGGAAGGAAGACTGGGCAGTCTACTTCTGTAAAGATTTATCACCTCAGAAACCTAAAGGGGGTCGCTGTGAGTCAGAATTGACTAGACAGCACTGAATTTGGTTGGTTTTTTTTTTTGGATAACATGTCCAAAGTGAGACAAAGTCTCGCCATCCTTGCTTCTAAGGAGCATTCTAGCTGTACTTCTAAGATTTATTCGTTCTTCTGGTGGTCCATAGTATATTCATTATTACTCACCAACATCATAATTCAAATGTGTCATTCATCGTTAGTCTTCCTTATTCACTGCTCAGGTTTCATGTGCACATGAGGTGATTGAAAATACAATGGCTTAGATCAGGTGCACCTCAGTCCTCAAAATGACATCTTTGCTTTTCAACACTTTAAAGAGGTCTTTTGTGGTAGATTTGCTCAATTATACTACATTTGTATAAGCATATGTTACAATAATACACTATATTATATCTGTATACATTTATTATACAAAATTACTATAATAAGCAACTACAAAATTTTCCCCATATCCCTTTTTAAGGCTGAGAAACAGTATCTCTCAGGATGAATACTATGAAGAATAAATTGATAAAGAAATATATCAGATTCAAGAACTCATAATCACTTAATGAAAGAGAAGAAATACCTCCAGATTTGAAAAGTAGGAATGTTGTACATGGAAAAAGATCTGTAGGAATATATCAAGAAAGGACTCTCTTGACAGCTATTTTCCCTAGGTAGCACGAATGGTTAAACACTTGACTACTAGCTGAAAGGTTGGTTGTTTGAACCCACCCAGAGGTATGTTAGAGGAAAGTCCTGGTGATCTGCTTCCAAAAGTCACAGGCTTGAAGACCTCATAGAGCAGTCAGTGCTACTCTGCATACATGGAGTCACCAAGAATAGGAATTGATTTGACAACAACTGTTTCTTCTTTCTTTTTCAGTTTATATGTGCTTCAAGAGTTAAGGATATAAAGACTTTTTTCTTTAATACATTTTTATGATTGGCTAAAATAGGTCCCCCTGACTGCTAACCAGAAGGCTGGCGGTTCAAACTCACCAGCCACTCCTCAGAAAGGTTGGGCAATCCTACTTCCGTAGTGATACTGCCTCAGAAACCCAAGGAGGGGTCGCTATGAGTCAGGGATGACTCGATAGCACATAACAACAACAACAACCTTTCTGTATGTATTCAAATGTAAGGAAAAATATATATTGTGTTCCCACTGCCACTGAGTCGGATCCAACTCACAGTGACCCTTTCTTGGGTTTCCAAGGTGGTATAACTACAGAAGTAGATTACCCAACCTTCCTCCCAAGGAATGGCTGGTGGGTTTGAACCGCCAGCCTTCTGGTTAGCAGTCAAATGCCTTAGGCACTATACCACCAGAGCTCCTATACATATGTATATATTATATATATAGTGTTGGTAGTTAGAAATCATCTCAAATGCTCTTACCTCATCAATATATTCCAACAAGTCCAAAGCTTTCTTGAAATCATACTCATTAGCTCTTCTGTTTTCTTCACAGATATATAGCTATAGCAAGTCAACACAGGCACAAAATTATTTTACAAAATTATACAACCTTTACTGGAGAAACTGATGTAGACAAGAAAATCAGCACATCTTTTAAGGAAGCTATAGGTATCTTTATAGTAAAGAATAGTGTCATGTTCCAAAATTGTACTCCATAAACCTCACAACAAACTGTATTCTTAAAAATGCATGTTAAATCAGTAATTCATTTGCAACATTTGGTATACACTTGTTTTCTTTGTGAAAATATGCATAGCAAAACCCACTCCCATTTGTTTCTAGACATAAAGATCAGTGACAATGGTTTACATTTTTCACATTGTGTCAATGTTCTTGTTATTTACATTCTAGTTGGAACGGAAACTTCCATTTACTTAATCTCCCTGCCCCCACCTTTCTCATCTATGCTTTAAAATAGCTGATGACCTTTTGGTCTTACGTAATTTTTTTTTAAATGCAATACTCCAGAGTGACAGGTACATATATATACTTTTAAAATGTCAGTAAGTTTATATTCTTAGGAATAAGACGACAGTATATATATATATATATATATATATATATATATATATATATTTCGGGAGCACTGGTAGCATAGTGGCTAAGGCACTTGACTGCTAACCAGAAGGCTGGCGGTTCAAATCCACCAGCCACTCCTCGGAAGGAAGATGGGGCAATCTACTTCCATAGTGATACTGCCTCGGAAACCCAAGGAGGGGTCGCTATGAGTTGGGTCCAACTCCATGGCACATAACAACATCAAAACAACAATATATATATTTCAGTATTCTTTTAAGGATAACCTTTGAAATAAATTGCTGCTCTTGCACTCAAAAGCTGGCTACCATGATTCTGAAATGGAGCCTTTTAAAATGGAATGCTATGATAAAGTATGCTGTTGGTCTACAGTTTTCTTAAAAGACATCAAAAATGAATCAACATGTTAACAATGGTCTTCGCTCGTTGGCCAGACTATAGGTGACTGCTGTATCAATTTCTGTATTCTTCCAATTTTTTGATCAGAAAAATACCTGCTTTATTAAAAGTATCAATTTGAATTGTTCCTATCCTCTTTTTCTAACCCCTATTTATAATGTAATAAACTTCATTTTAAAAGACTGCATATGATCCTTTAACAGTAAAGACAATACTCAAACTATTTTGGGAAAACACTGGCTGTTGTTTCCAATATCTTGTAACATTTAAGAAATGTCATTTTATTTCATCATTTTAAACACTATTTTTTCTCCACAGTATTAACATCTCTTAAACCCCAACACCTCAATAACAAAAAGACAAACAATCCAATTAAAAACTGGGCAGAAGACATGAATAGACACTTCACCAAGGACAATATTCAAGTGGCCAACAAACATTTGAAGAAATGCTCATGATCACTAGCTATTAGAGAGATACAAATCAAAACAACAATGAGATACCATCTTGCTCCAGCACTAGTAGCAAAGTTCAATGAGACAGAAATAACAAATGCTGGCGAGGATATGGAGAGATTGGGACTCTCATACACTGCTGGTGGGACTGTAAAATGGTACAACCATTGCGGAAAGCAGTATGGCGATTCCTTCAAAAGTTGGAAGTAGAAATACCATTTGATCCAGCTATTCCATTACTAGGTACATACCCTAAAGAAGTGAAAGCCACGACAAGAACAGACATATGCACACCCATGTTCATCACAGCACTATTTACAATAGCCAAAAGAGGGAAACAACCTAGGTGTCCATCAACTGAGGAATGGATATCCAAACTATGGTACAAACACTCAATGGAATACTATGCAACTTTAAAGAATAACGTAGAATCTGCAAAACACCGCATAACGTGGATGAACCTGGAGGACATTATGCTGAGTGAAATAAGTCAATCACAAAAGGACAAATATTGTATTAGTCCGTTATTATAATAGTCAAGGAAAAGTTTATCTATGGAAGACTATTTTCTTTGTTGGTTACCAGGGTGGGAGGGGAGGGGAGGGAATACTGTTAGATAGAGAGAAATAAGTTTTGATTTGGGTGAAGAAAAGGGCAATGTACCAAATGTGAGTGATCAATATAGTGGCACTGAGGAAGAGAAAGACAGAGAGAGATACGTGTGAAGTACAGACAACAAAGATGAACTCTTCTGCACATACAGTACAGCATGGTCAGTGAAGGCAAACATGGGTATATGGGTGGATAGGCTGAAATATTAGGTACGCATATGAAGTGGAGAGTGCACCCGAGAACATGTATAGGGTTGGCCGACAGTGGTCCAATAACTTTATGTGTATAATCTGAATTCCCAGGTGTATAATGGGGCTGAGAAGGGGCAAGGTTATAGTCACTGCTTGGTCACAGCCAGCTACTCAGAGGGACCAAGTAGTTGAACCTGTGGGCTCGGGACCATAGTCACAGAGGACATCAAGCTCAATTGGCATAACATACTACACAAAATATTGTTCCACCTCCTACTGTAGCAAGTAGCAACTGACATCTTAAAAGCTTGCAAGCTGCCGTCTAGATGCAACGATGGGTCTCTTCTCATCCAGAGCCAAGAAGAATGAAGAAAACCAAAAATTCATGGAAACAACTAGTCTTAGAGACTGGTACACCATCTGATCTGCAGACTATATGACTATGAGACCAGAAGAAATAGATGGTGCTCAGCTACTACTGTCAACCACTTGGAAGATCTTTGTAGGAGATCCTGGACAGACAGGGAGAACAATGTGGAAAAACACTCAAAATCATTTGGAAAAAAAAAAAAAAGAAAGTGGGGAACAGGTTTGCTGGCGCAAGGGAGCCTGGTGGAACCACTGAGACTATGGCCCTTAGCTGGCCTTCAGGTCTGGAATTGAACGCACACCTGTGGCTTCCAGCCAAACAATAGACAGGCATGTGAGTTGAGCATTTACCTGAGGTAGATACACTCCTCGGAGAGAATAAGCATGAGAGAAAGAAGGGCTGCTCAGGCACAGGGAGACAGCTCAGGGGGTAGGAGTGCATGGAGAGATGGACACAGGGAAGAGGTAACTATCGGGAGGAAGCGGGAGGGGAGATGTTGCAATGTACTAAATTGTGGTCAGTGTCATGAGACAAAGTATATGTGAAATGCTGTATGGAAAGTGTATTTGCGCTGTAAATTTTCACCCAAACCACAATTAAAAAAAAACAAACAACTGATAGTGTGTCACAATAGAAATGGCACTACTTTTTCCTTCTTATTGGTACATAAAATAAAGGTAAGCCTTACAATCTACAGTTTGTTATAATAATATTTTAAATATTTAATCAGTAAATAATAATTAATACTTAATAATTTAATTAAGTATTCTATATCAGAAAAGTAGGTGCCCTGATGGTGCAGTGGTTATGCACTAGATGCTAACCAAAAGGTTGGTGGTTCAAGCCCACTAGTCTGTAGTCTGCTCCTGTAAAGAATACAGCCCTATGCAGAAACCCTATGCAGTCCTACTCTGTCCTATAGGGTTTGCTATCAAGTTGCAACCAACTCAACAGCAACAGGTCTGGTATTTGTTTTCTTGGAGGGCTGTATCAGTAGACGCTGCTGCAAGCTCAGTTATAGAAAATCTGTTACTAATAATGGCTATCGTACTAAAGTTTTGATTTGTTTTTTATAAAAAAGATAGTAAGAGAAAATTCAAGGCAATCCTACATTAGCTCTGATTTTGAAATGGTTTCCTGAGTGGAAGAGAAAGTCGTGGAGTTGAGGCTAGAAATGCACATGACACCAAAATTCTCTTACCTAGGCTACAGCCCATAATCTAACTATGCCCTTAAGAAAGAATGTGTTAGGTTGCAGAGGAAGAGTGAGGACTGCATTTTAGGCTGTGTAAACCCAGTTCCTTGTATCATTCTTATAGAAGAGCCTAAAAGGTAACATTCTGAGAATAAAATGCCTCAGCGGTGCACCAAAAAGCAAAATACACTGATTTCTTCTGGTTACCTGGATAAACACCTTCAGGAATAGGTGGAGATACATGGGGAGTCAGAGGCTGATCACTTGCTTTATGCTAATTAGCATCCTGCTAATTATTCTAGGGGAAAGTTATCAGGAAGGTAGCAGAAGAAAGGTGACTCCTCTTAGAAACAAAAGTACATGGCCCAAAAAACTGAGAGTGTTCTGAGACTAAGAAATAGTGTAAGATTGTGAAAAGTACATACACTGATGAGTTGTGGTGCAGACAGTACTGGCATTGCACTGAGATTTAGCTGTTTCTCTGTTAGTAGTTGTTCAGGTAGGGTCTCCTGGTGTAGCAGAAAGCACTCTTGTTCAGCCATTTCTAGTATTCAAAATGAGGGAGAGAGACAGAAGATAAATATGAATGAATTATAATAATGTAACTTCCCTTTTGCTCTGCTGTGAAGCAAATCTGAATTTAAAAAAGAACACCTTCAAAGATAATCCTATCACTATTCAATGATCTTAGAATATTATTCTTATTCTTCATTATGTTAATATATTCATAGTTTGATCCAAGTCATATAAATTACCACAGCAATTAGAAATAAAAGGAGAGAAAAAAGCTAAGGGAATACATTCTATAGCTTGAAGAAGTTGTAGAGAATATACCTATTTCATGACTTATAACCTGCTCAAATGTGGGATCTCTCAGTTCTACATTATGGTAACCTAGTAAAGTGCTTCCTCCCACCAGAGTTTATAGTACAGATTCATTCAAAAAAGAATGATCTATTTACAAGCCATCATGACAATACTACAGAAAAACAAAAACTGGAATAATACGCACCAAACCTATTGACTACCAGTGGTTATCACTATGAAATGAGATGACAGGGGCTTTTCCTTTCTATATCATGTACTGCCATCAACTATCCAGGTTGTAGCCACTAACTGACTATGTCCATGACACTGTGTTGGGTTATAGGACATGAAGGATTGAGAATTTCTATGGAGACTCATAAAAACAGAAGTTAAAGCAAAATGGAATGACCAAAACAGAAGAATCATTCCACATGATTCCAGTTTAAAAAATTAAAATACCTGTGTGTACATTTCCACACATAGAAAAACAGACTGTGATGATATACAACAAAAACAACAGTTCTTTCTGGGGAGGTGAGATTATAGACAACTTACTTTTTTGTTATATTCTTTCAATAATTTACAAATTTTCCAAAAGGATTTACTAACAACAAGAGTTAAAAAACAAACAAATAAAAGTGTCCCTAAGGAGCTCTGGTGGAGTAGTGCCTAAGGCATATGACTGCTAACCAGAAGGTTGGTGGTTCAAATCCACCAGCCACTCTGCTGAAGGAAGGCTAGGCAATCTACTTCCATAAAGATTTACCACCTCAGAAACCCAAAGGAGGTCACTATGAGTTGGAATTGACTCAATGGCAGTGAGTTTGGTTTTGGCTTTTTAACATTAGCTACATTGTGACAAGAGAAATTCTATGACAGAAAGTAGAGGCTTGAAAATATCCCCATCAGGTTAGGAAAGCAGCAGCTAAGAAGTGATCAGTGTAAAATGATTACCAAAGTTACAATAACATCTGGAGGAAAAAAGTCCCCAATAACAAAATTTTAAAATGTTTCAATTAAAAATATGGCTTCTACTCCCAGACTATCAGTCAACCCTATAGCATATATATACATACTTCTCTAAAACAATAAGCACTATTGCTGTTATTAGATGCTGACAAGTCACTTCTGACTCATAGTGCCCCCTGTACACCAAATCAAAACACTGCCTAGGCCTGCGCCATCCTCGCAATCATTGCTATGATTAAGTCCACTGCTGCAGTCATTTTGCCTATCCATCTTATTGAGGGTCTTCCTCTTTTTCCCTGACCCTCTACTTTACCAAGCATTATGTTCTTCTCCAGGGAATAGTCCTTCCTAACAACATGACCAAAGTATGAGAGAAGCATGCCATCCATGCTTCTAAGGAGCACTCTGCCTCTATGTCTTCCAACACAAATTTATTCCTTCTTCTGGCACTCCATAGTATATTCAACATTTCTTGGCAACACCATAATTCAAATATATCAATTCTTGTTCAATCTTCCTTAGTCACTGCCCAGCACTATGAAGTAGATTGCCCCATCTTCCTTCCAAGGAGTGGCTGGTGGGTTTGAACCGCCAGCCTTCTGGTTAGCGGTCAAGTGCCTTAGGCACTAGGCTACCAGAGCTCCTCTTCTGTAAGTAGTCAAACATAAAATCTTAATTCAGGTGTGATATACTCAATGCCATTTTTGGTTTTCTTGGACTTGTTTTAATTTTCTTCAGCTTCAACTTAAAACTTGCAAAATGAGTTTTGATGGTCTGTTCCAGAGCTGGCCCCTGGCCTTGTTCTGACTGAGATATTGAGCTTCTCCATCACCTCTTCCTACAGATGTACTCAATTTGATTCCTGAATATTTCATCTGTCACAATCCATGCTTATGTTGAAAAAGGCATTTGCAACGAATAAGTTCTTGGTCTTCAAAAAAGTATCATGCAGTCTCCTGCATCATTTGTCACCAACACCATATTTTCCAACTACTGATGTTTTTTGTTTCCAACTTCCTCATTCAAATCACTGGTAATAATCAATACATCTTAACTGCATGTTTGGTCAATTTCACCATGCAGAAGTTGCTAAAAATCATCAGTTTCTTCATCTTTGGCATTATTAGTATATGCCACTGATCCATCAATTTGTTGTACTGTGGTGGTTTGTGTGTTCCTGAGGCTGGAGGCTATGCCACCGGTATTTCAAATACCAGCAGAGTCACCTGTGGTGGAAGGTTGCAGCAGAGCTTCCTAAGACAGACTGACAAGAAGGAAGGGGACACCCACTTCTCAAAGAATTGACCAATGGAAATCTTATGAATAGTGGTAAAACATAGTCTGGCATTAGTAGCTAGTTCATAAATTCAAGTAATAGTCATATCAACTGGCATTCTTGCAAGCGTATGGGTATTATCCCATCACTGACAGCACTATACTTCAGGACAGATCTTGAAATGTAGTTTTTGATGAAGAATATGACACCACTCCTCTTCCATTTGTCACTCCCAGCATAGTAGACCATGTGACTATCCAACAAAAAATGATCATTTCCATTTTTCTATCTCATTTCAAATGCAATAGAACAGGATTCTTATCTTCTATCTATAACTGTAGCTCCTTTCCTCTTCTCAAACGTAACAAGACATTTAATAATTCTCTATCCATAATGCAGACAAAACAGTTTCAAAATTATTATACCAATAACACTACCTAGAACAAATCTACTGAACAACATTCAAGATTTCTTTGCAGTCCTTTTTGTCTTCAGAATATGTGCCACAAAGGATGTGTAATCAGAATATTCTGTTCAAAATTAATTAGATTTGTTCTTTAGAAATTTTTATTTAAAATACAAATCACTTTTCTGTTAAAAAAAAAATTTCCAAGTATGTAATTTTATATGAGAAAATGAATTTTAAAAATTCCTCTTAAAGTTCCATTTCTAATAGATATCATTAAATGACAGCATGACTGATTCGTATGGTTTCTTGTTCAAATTTCTTCTTTTACCTTCAATTTTTTCTTGCAGTATATCCTCCGAAAAGTTTGAAGCTAATGCAGCTAATTTACTCAAGCCAAGAAGGGTTTTTTTCTTTGCAAAGTAACGAGTTTCCATATTTGCCAATCCTAGAAGTGTTGCATGAGCCTATAATAAATAAAATATGAAAAGTGCAATAAGAACCTGGGTACTAATTCAAGCTGAAATAAAGGTTAAGTATTCCCAAACTAGTTTTCTCCCTTAAGCTACACAGACGAAAAATCAATTCAATAATTAGCAAACCTAAAAACTTCTGAGTATTGTAATATTAAGGGCAATTACAAAATAAAATTCCAATCATTCTATTAATTAGAGAATGGTCATATATAAAACATTTGCTTTATAACAATTTATTCATTTCAATTTCCTGCCAAGAACAAACTTTAAAATTTGAGTACTGTATTTACTAATATTACCATTTTTTTATTACAAGAAAATACACATCACAAAAAACAGTGACTGTTACTTACACATTACTAAAAAAATTGGGGCTTTGTTTTACTGTAACAGTCATATCAGAAAGGACTACAAATTTATAATTGAGATATTAAAAGGAATAACAACATCATAAATCAAAAACATGGTTTATTCTAATTATATGAAAGGATGACAGATATGTACACATTTTAAATAATCTGTAGTGGTAGCATAATAACTAAAAACTAATTAAAACTCAATTAAAAAATATAGAAATCTGTTCCTTGTAACTAAATCCTTCTTTACCTTTTCTAATTCTTGGCTATTAATTTCATGTAACCAGCTGAGATGTTCATGAGCTTGCAAAAAATTCGCCAACTGTCCATGCTGAGAAATGGGCTGAGATAATAACTTGCCTCGCTTTCCTTTCTCCAGATACCAACGGAAGAGAAAGTCTGAAAAATTCTACAAATAGCAGAGCCAAGAATCCATTAATATTTATAATGTGATTTTAAAGATACATTTCTGATATTAATATGCTGATTTCTTCCAAAGGTCTTAGGCTCCAAAATAGAAATCTTGTTTTAAACACTAATTTCCCATATTGTAGGATTTAATTAGGAAGGGTACACAAAGATTAAGTAACCCAATCACCTCATTTGACAAATGAGTAAATTCAGAATCAGAAAGGATGTTATGTTCTAAATTACTGACTACTATGGTAGCCACTGGCCACATGTAGCTGTTTAAACTTAAATTAACTAAAGTTAAAAATTCAGCTCCTCAGTCACACTAGCCACATGTGGCTAGTGGGTACCATTTTGGACAGCACATATACAGAACACGTCCATTTATCATACAGAGTGATAATCAATGTGCCGAAACTATAACTTCCATACTCTAGGGGTAGAATTCTGAACTAGACAATAAACTAGAACCTAGGGGAACCTTAAAGGCCCTGCCAATTTCCACCACATTTTGTCTGAATGCTGGGTAGTGCAGGAGGCTGGGCTGGGAAGCAAGAGTAAAACATCCTGCAGTTCCAGTGTTGAGAGATTTTTCCACTAAAGGTGGGATCCTGCAATAAACATCACCCTCTCTTTGTGATACTTTTGAAACCTAAAATAAAATAAATATAACAAAATTTCAACTGAGCCCTGGCTACCTGTTTCTGATTAGATTGAAGATCTACTTCTCACCTTTTCTACCTAAAAGAGGAAAAGGAAAACTCTCCCAGGGGAAAAATAACATCCATTTTCATTTTCATACACGATGTCCAAAATATAATTTAAAAAATTACAAGATAAAGGTAGCAGAAAAATACAGTTAATAATCAAGATAAAAACTGGGCAAAAGCAGCAGACTCAGAAATATTTGGGGGGTTAATACAAAAGAACTCTAAAACTACTGAGTATGATAAAGAAAAAATGGATGGAATATGTCAACAAAGGGCTACAGCCTATTTAGAAAAAAATGATTTGTACAAAAATATTTACTTTAGAATTTGTGTAAAATACTAGGTAAATCAAGTCTAACAATTGTGCACTGTTCTGGTTACCTGGTGCCGCTCTGCCAGCAATGTAACACAAATGGGGTGGCCTTAACAAACAGGAATTTATTCTCTCATAGTTTGGAGGCTTTAAGTCCAAGTTCAAAGAGTCAGGCTCTACGGGCTGTGTGAAAGCCCCTTGACCTTGGGCTTCAGCTCTGCCTCGTGCTCCCAGCCCATTGAAGCTAGAGGCATTTCTTCACTCAGGCAGCTACTGGCTGCTGAAGCTAACAAGTCCAAGGTCAACAAATAAAATAGCACAGTCCCAGTGTTACTAAACCACATGGCAAACCATTAATTTAAGTCCACTGAAAGTCCCAAGGTTGGCAGAGCATGGCAGGCTGCTGAACAATGACACAGCTACGCTCAGGGTCCAAGCGTGCCATAAGCTAGAGACTATCCCCAAGGCTTCTACTTATATATAGTAAGCAGACTACATCCCAAAGGCAGCTACTCAGCTGCTTGTGACAGATCCCACCATGGAGTTGATTGCCAGTCTCTTTGATGGGGAATAACTACCACCAGCTGCCCAGCCACTCAACCAGGCCCAGCCAAGTTGACATACAAATTTAAGTACCACAGGCACTGATAAAATAAAACAAGTTGTAACACCATTAAAAATATTATTATAGAATATTTAATGATACAGTCCAATATTTGTGACATATTAAATGAAAAAAGCAGTTAACAAAACAAGTTTGTAATAATATCAAGTAAAATAGACTGAAAGGGGGACATCAAGCTCAATTGGCATAACATACTATACAAAACATTGTTCCACCTCCTACTTTGGTGAGTAGCGACTGGGATCTTAAAAGCTAGC